CAAGACAAAGGACCTCAGATTGTGCGAATGCCTTGGACATCAAGTCTGAAGCAATGAGAATAGACCTGGGTTTTAGCCCATCCTCCTGGGCTCTCGCTCATGCTCTTGAGTTCTAGCTTGTTCTCAATTACACCCACTTTTGATCCATCTTCTTTTCTGTACAGCCTAGCCTATATTATAGTTCCTTTATCTACCAATCAAAACTTGCAGTCAAAGAAACACACACACACACACACACACACACACACATACTTTTCTTCTGTAATTGCATCCTGGCAACATAAAAAAATGCAACAAATAATATAGAGCAGTTTCGGGCACTGATTCTTAAAGTTTTAAAATCTACTTCTTAGTTGAATATGCGTAGCATTTCCCCTCTTCTTTCCTTTGCCAACAGCTATGATAGATTCTTCTTAAAGAAGTATGCCCTTAAGATATGCTGACTACATACACCAACTTCCCAGAATAAACCCCACCATCATATAATACTAACATGCACTAATAAAATAAAATATGGAAAAAAGAGGCATGCCCACTAAATTGAGGAACTTTTGGTCTGATACAGATAATCCTTCTTATTTAGTTTGTATTGTTTAAAATGTTATTATTTTCATGTTTCAAATATGACATTAAATTATAATATTGGCTATGTTTTACAATTAAACACATGTACTTCCACATATGCTTCAATGTATATTGGTTTCAACTCTGCACCTCCCCATCATTCCTTTGAAGAATAATGATTACAGATGAAGTTTCCTCATCCTGTTTGTAGGTAGAAAGTCAAAAGAGACCATAATTCACCCTCTAACACCCAGAACAAACCAGGTAATCTACATAATTATAGAGTTGTGTCTTTTTTTCAAAGAAAACCATCAAGGAATTGAGAGCACAGTGAGACATAAAGTGAACCAAACTTCAGAGAGTGATAGGCCTTTGTGGCACTACAGACTAGACAGTGGGCCTCCCCCTAACTGATGTGAGAGGGAGGAAGAATCCACCATATCTGATGATCAGAAATCAGCCTAGTTTAAACAAATTTTAATGGCTGATTAAATAGGGCTGTGTGCACTGATGTGACAGATTAGAATCCAAAGAAACTGTAATCACAGAGCTAAACCATATTACCTCACAGTTATTTCCCATTGATACTCACTAGCTCCTAGGGCCATTCCACAAAAACAAGGCGGTGAAGAAGACATGAGAGAAACTCTCAAAAGTACATCGGCTTTTCAGGTAAGGATTTGTAGAGGGGCAAAAATCCCAGCACTCCAGGTCTTCACTTTAGAAAGACTCGGGGGAGTAGGTGAGAGCAAAAGAAAGATATCCCTCTAAGACTTGAAAAGGAAGACACCAATCAGGACAGAAAAGCTAATAAGAGCTCTATAATAATATGTACTTATACAAAAAATCCTGATCTCATCTTTGAAATAACTGAGGCTAGTGGTAAATTAAATCAAACCAAAGCTGTTAACAAAGCCCAAACGCAGCTCAACTGCAGACCATATTGACTCAGCTCCAACTCTAGTGGCCTGATAGAAGATATGTATCTAATTTTGGAGGAAAATATTTAATTCATTATCTACTGTACTTGTACATAAATGTCTGCCACACAGTCAACAATACCAATACACACACACAAAGGCAAGAAAACGTGACTGCTGTTACTGAACACTCAGTGGGTTTGGAAATTAGCTTCAGCTACAGACTTGATACTATTTCTTCATGAATTCAACCTAAAACTACAGGCAAAATAGAGTTTATAAGAAAAACTTACACTGTTGTAAGATCATTTTGACATGTTAACATTGCTTAAATTACAAATAATGCTGAGCTGCTTTACACACTTCCTCCACTGTCAACAGCTAAAACAGCAAGCAAGATCACCATTCCGACACAAATTTGCAGCAGTTATATTTTTGTGAATTCAAACTATGGCTCCAACAGTGCTTTTTGGATTTCAGTGCAAGTGCAAGGGGAGTTTTCATATCTAAAATCCACTTAATTGTGCAATTGAGGGACTTCTACCTAACCTCCAACTGGAAGTGACTAATCTGTAATGTCATGGCATGGTAAAGTGGACATAGCCAGAGAATTTATAGAATTCTAATAGAATTTTAGAACTGCCTTCTCAACACTAAATACGCTCAAATGAAATCTTATGTCCACGGATTTGTATCAGTATGTGGCAGTATCTATGTGGGAAAAAAAGACATTTTCAAAAATGAAATATGTGCAATCTCATCAAATATTACCCTTAACGGATGAATGTTAGCGGTCCATTTTGATGACAGAGGAAACTTCCTTTATTTTTATTTTTTGGGGGGAGCTGCCAGGAGTCAAACTCATGCTTGCCAGGTAAGTACTGTGCCAGTGAGCTAAATCCCTACTTACTTTGAACCCCTAGTAAGTGAAATGTTATTTCTTCCAAAGGAATTCTATTCCTTTACTATTAGATCTGTATTAAATTGTCATTTTTATTATACTTTCTTTTTGTAATAAAAATCTTGGACGTTTTCCCTCTTGTTAAGTATCTACATAATGACCTCGGTTTTGCCTCTCAGCAGACAAAGCCTAAAATATTTACTATTAGGCCCCTTGTAGAGATTATAATCGCCTGATCTAAACACAGTTTTTGCTACATCTGCTACTGTGTATTGTTTAATTTATTATTTATTTATTTATTTATTTTTGAGACAGGGTCTTCACCATGTAGTTCAAGTTGAATTCATTATGTAGCCCAGGCTGGCCTCAGACTTGCAGAATTTCTAAAGCTACATTATGTATGACTTCCCAAGTCAGTACTTTCAAAGGAAATCGCTGGAAACCCTTTGAATTTATTTCTAAACTCACTGGGTACTAGGATCCCTATATTTCCCGGTTTCCTCATTCCTATTTCCTTTATACCCTCTGTCCCTCAGCAAGGCCATGTTCTTGCTCTCTTCTCTGTTTTGTTGTTGTTTGTTTTTGTTTTGTTTTCTCGAGACAGAGTCTTGCTATGTAGTTCAGTATGGCCCTCAATTCACCAGGAAGTTGAGGCTGGCTTCAAACTCATGGCCATCCTTGTCTCAGCCTCCACCTCCTGAGTGCTGGCATTAAAGCAGTGCACTACCACGCTGGGCTGTATTTTGTGTTGGAAGACAACTCTACCTGCTACTTCTATGAATCACTTAGAGAAAGGAGTTTGGAATGAAAGTTGAAAGTTGATTTAGTCCTGAGGTTGAATAGTGATTGCATCTAGCATTCATTGAACACATTGTGTGTGGCATTCTGTGAAGGAAGCACTTTGTACAGTACCCCCTTGTCCACAGTTTCAGTTACCCAGGATCAAGTATGGACCGAAAATATTAAATGGAAAATTTCAGAAATAAACAATTTATAAATTTAAATAACTTTTACTACAGTATGCTATAATTGTTTTATTAGCTCTTGTTGATCTCTTATTGTGCCTAATTTATAAATTAAACTTTATCATGCATATGTATATGAGAAAACTATATACAGGGTTCAGCACTGTCTGTGTTTCAGACATCCACTGGAGGTCTTGGAATGTCTCCCCGATGAATAAAATTACTGTATCTATTTTCTCATTCAATATGAGAATCTGTTTAGATAGGTGCTAGCCTTCCATCCCATTTCATAGAAGTTTAGAAAGTGAATTGTCAGAGATCACGCAAGTGATGTGAGGGTTTATAATACTTAAAGGGACAGCAGAACTAATGTCTGCAGATATTTGTTAAAAGGAACAAAGGTAGATTAGATAATTAGGGGAGAGGAGGTCAAAAGCAGAGGAATTGGTTTAGCAAGGCAGCTGGGTTTCGGGGGATAGGACCACCAGGTGACAAAACTGGTGGTTCCTGGCATCTCTCACAGCAGAAGGGATTTTCCTAGTCCCTAACATTTTAATGAGTACATTTCGGTTGAGAGTGTTGAGACGTGTGCTAGAGGGAAAGTATTTGTAAAAGTCAGAACACATTTTGTAACGCAGAAATGAAGGGAAGTAGGCGGGACAAACCCACGGGGGGTGAACAGGATCTGGGAAATCCGTCCTGGCCTGGTGCAGAGAACCTGTGCATGCACACACATTTGTAATATATTACCATCAAAAGAATCACAACAAATTTACCTTTTCATTAGCCGCCCGCTCACAAACCCCTAAGTACATTAGCAAGGTTCACAATTTTTAAACACAACTATAATGTTGTCAGTGTTCTGCGGTGGACATTCCGGAGCATTTGAAGAGACAAAATAATAATTCAAATCATAGAGTGATCGGAGCCCTTGTGAAGGCTACAACTCTCAGCCCCGCCGGCTCTGTCCGCTTTTCCTACAGACCCCCGCGCCAGCAGAATCCCAGGGCCGTCCCTTTCGCCAACGGCCGAGTCAGGAAAGAGTCCTGGGGAGGGTGCCACCCGCAGGGACGCGTCCCGTCAACTTTGCAGTCGAGACCCCCACTGCGGTTGGTAGCGGCCACTACTGCTTTAAATGGGCAGTGGATTTCGACGCGGGAGGGAGAGGCGGTCAGGAAAAGGAACTGGGTTGCTTTGATAACTGCCCAGCAGTCTTCCTTCCCGAGCGCGTGCTCGACTGGGGAAGCGCCCGCGGCGGCCGCAGCCCGGGATGGCGCCCCCTCTTTTCGGAGCGCCCCCTTCCCGGGAACCCCCACCCGCTGCGTCTGCAGCGCGGCCGCCCCGGCTTTGTCTCGGGCGTCGCGCTCGGGCGCTCGTTCCCTACATTTCCCCTAGTGCAGTCTGTAACCCGAGCTCCCATTTCCTGGTGGATTCTCTTAAAGAGGCAGCGGTCGAGAAGCAGAACAAAGGCTATTGTTTTATTTCCTCCTTCGGATTCCGCGTCTTTCCCGGAATGCCCCTTCCTAGGTCATTAATCTGGTTGCATCTACGCTTAGGGAAACAACAACAGCAAAAATATGTAAAAGCCCTCGTGCAATTCAATGCATCTTAGAGACGGAGGTAGGAGAGGCGAGAGGAGTTGAATAAAACCTGTTTTGCGGTTTCTGGGGCCTCGGTGTAACGTTCTTTAAAGGTGTCTTCCTCGGGCCAGGGAGCCCCAGCTCGGCCCGCAGGGGGGCGCGAGGGTCGCGGGCGCACGCGCGGGGGCGTCCCCTGGGGGTGGCGGACCTGTGCGCCCCGCGCAGCTCGGCCCGCGCCCCGGTTTCCTCGCCCGCCCCTCCCCCGCCGGCTTTTATTTCCCCGATGCCGGGCTGTAACCCGAGCTTTTATTTCCTGGTGGCTCCTTTAAGAGGCTGAGCTCAGTGCTGGGAATTCACGTCAGTTTCTGCACTGAAACTCTCAAGATCAATGAGCAAAGCGCTTTCTCAGTTCTGCCTTTCAGTTTCTCTCTTCCAGGAAGGAAAACATTCGAGAGAGCGAGGGAGCGCGGCGGGAGGCGGGGGGCGGGCG